TTTTCCTCAACAGTCGAATGCGCGGCGCATACAGGGAGCTGATGAGTCAACGGCGAGGTTCTTCTCAAAGTTCTTCTGACGATTCTGAGGTTGATAGTTATAAACTTCAATCTTCCTCCTTTCAGCCATTCCAATCACAGTCTCACTCGAATATACTTCACCACCAGGTCGAGAACACTTACTAGTAGAATCGTGGGAAAAGGTGAGCGATTTACAAAAGTTTCTCTTTTATCAACTACCAACTCGTTTCAGATCAATGTCCGTTGTGTTGCTCGGGGTAAACCTCGGCCATTGTTATTTTACGTCCTCACTGAAGTTGGGGAGGATCCAGAAGCTGAGGTGAGCTCATTACTGGCCCATCCGGAGAGGCCTCTGTGCTATAATATCCCGGAAGCTTTTGCTATGGTATGAACGAACTTTTGTTACTTGTCAATCATCGACTTCAGGAGGACATATGGCACTTACTCGACGTTCAAGTGGAACGTGACAGTATTGTAGGTGAAGTGGAATTCTCCACTTTCACATCAAAGACGCTCCACTGTAAAGCGAAAAACACTGCTGGCTCGAATTCCTCATCGCTAACTTTCATTGTGAAAAGTCAGTTGTTCTACCGTGACTGGATACCGTACTCCACTTTTTCCGCCATTTCATGAAGAACATTTCAAGACGGCGCAAAGCTCAATTTATTCAGAACCGGGAGATCCTCCACGTGATATCCAGGTGTTATCGATCGACTCTCGTGATGTCATTATTGTATGGAAAGCTCCAAAATATCCGAATATGAAAATCGAGGTAAATGTTCTCATGGGCAGCTTGTACTGGTTTAAGTAGGCCTCAAACTCACCTCGCAGAATACTGATCCTTGCCATGATCCCGGTGAGAATCAGCAGCTATAGACGTGTGTGACTTTCGTCGCCTGAAGTGGGTCAAGTTAAAGGTGGGCGATGAATCCCTAAGACGAGTAGGATCGAAACGCCCGGTCGGACGGGACGGTCCGCGCCCCTGAGCGGGCGCTGCGTACTTCGAAGGTACCCTTATGAAGCCCTATCAAGTTGCAACATACCGTCCCGGACGCCCACTGCGCCCGCCCACCCACAAATGGACGATATCGCTCGTATCGCTTCATTTTCAAGTAAAGTGTGAAGCGAAGGGATTGATATGAAGGTGTTGTACGGATATGTTAGTACATAGGTGCAGCCGTATATACCGTAGTGCTTACTGACACAATGCCTACTCGTCCGAAGTTACTCGCTGAATCATGAAGGACGGAAGTTCTTCTTCGCAGGTTTTTGACCGTTCCGCTTTGTTTTTTTTCGCCGTCCCCACTATACAGCACACCTTCTACTATTTCAGACCAAATACCAACTTTCATATGCCTTTAAGGCTGCAGAGTAGTGATAGCCAAATTCGAACTCCACCCACAGGCATAGTTCCTACGACCATGCATACGTCTAGCTATAGCCATACGCGCTACTTGTCTGCGTCCTCTCACGTTTGTTGTTCTCTGCACTTCGCCGCGATAAGTAGTTCGCCAATCGCATTCTCTGCTGCGGAACCGACCTTGGATCGACGCACAGCCGCTCGCTCTGAAAAGGGGGGTGGGGGGGGGAGGGGGAGTTCCAAACGGCATACAGCGATCCCAATCCTTCACCTTAATTTCCGCGTACCTTCCAGTGACGAAATTTGCTCATTTCTACAGCTGCGATTCCGTATTCATTGAAATAGACGGCTGGCGCACTGTATTTTTGCGATAAACCACTAATAAACAACTATAATTGTAAACATGGAAATATTCGATTCTCCATTGTTACATAAGATCCTTGACTATAACAATCTGGTAGTCATCTGCAGTTTATGCCAGTTTTGAACTTCCTACTTTTTTCATCCTCTGATCTGTTCAGTTCCATCTTCGGTGACGTTGAGTTTTTGGGACACCTTTTTAGTCCTCTTGAATATTATGTTTCCTATTTTTCTATGTTTATTGTTCATTAATTAATATTATTATATATTATATTATTATATATTATTATTTCTATATTATTATTATTATTATTATTATTATTGTTATTCCTTTCTTAACCTTAAAAGTGAGATTTCAGTCCTACGAGCTACTCCTCAGCGACGACGTGGAAGAAGATGAAGAATACTGGCAGAAATATCGCACTGCAATCAGAAATGACTGCCTGGCCAGTGACAAGCGTACTATGAAGTTTCCTAGGCCTTATCGAGCTCACGGCGTTTGACGTCACGTCCTTGCAATACCCAAGCATGGCGAAAACAAACGCTGAGCAAAAGTAATCTGTGCGCATGAGAAATGCAATGAACAGATGCGGCGAGCGGTTTTGCGACTGCGATATAATATCCACGCGAATGCAACGCGTAAATACGAGTCTGTTGCAGTGAGTCATATGGTCCGAAGTCTAACAAGATGGTCTATAACGTAGAATCGTGGAAGATGTCATATGCACGGCGCACCCCCTTATCCTTGAATCTCGAATAAATGACGAGATATCTTTGTGGAACTCACCCTCTTATCGAGATAATGGGTTTGATTTGAGACGGGGAGACTTTTTCCTTTATCTGAAATCGAAGAAAGTAGATCCTAACGATCTCAACCAAACTCACCGAACACTATGTCGGTATGAGGATGTAGATGAGTAGAGTGTGCCACTTGGTAGTATGGCGTGAAAAAGACCCGTGTGGCGTATACTTTGAAGGGCGTCACTATCGCCGAGCAGTGTCGAGCCTCCAACTCCTGTATCACCCTCTTCGGAACGGCAAAAGTGGTCTCAAGGCGGCAACAAACTTCCCATTTTATACGGAAAAGGATTTATCCTTGAGGTTATCGGAGCGTGGCTTGGTTCAAAACTTGTGAGTTCGCGGCTGAAATACTAATGAGAAAAAGGTAAGTAACACAAAGGTGACGAAAAAGGACCCCCTCCCCCTCCCTCCCCCGAAATGCCCCATATTGAGCCGCTCTTTTGGTCTGCTTTAGACGAAGGAAGGACACGTGGTCGAATCATTCCTCTTTTTGGTGCCAGCTCTTTCTACTGATCACTTCAGTCTCACTGTTCGATATGAGGAGACTTTATACCAGAACAAGCGCGCCATGTAGCAGTTGGAAGTGAAGGCTGGGCGTTGCCGTGACCAGTGGGCAGAATCGTGGCCTCGTCGCGAGCGGGTCTCGCTTTGCTCACGTATTTTTGAGCTACAAAAGTTTCACATGCCCCATGGTTGCGAACAGTGATACCGTTTCCAAGGAGAACGTTCGATCATCAAGTCAACGCGGAGCATGCCTTTATTTGTTTTTCTGTCCCCTCAGAGATTTAATACAGGAAAACTTAATTCGATCTAGTTGAAACAGAAAGTTTGTATATTTTTACTCCATATTTGTGCAATATTGTGCGCACAAGATTCCATACGTCCAAAATGTACTGTTTGTCAGTGAAACTTTCTCAGATCCTCCTTGCCGACGGATCAGCTGAAACCGTCCTACGATTACTATGTGAAGGTTCGAGCCATCAATGAAGCAGGAGCCGGACCACTTTCTGAGGCGATTCATTTCACCACGCCAAATGGAGGTTGTATTTTTATTTCATTTACATTTACTTGCCATTTCGGATCTTATCTGGACTTGTCATGGGGCAGCCGTCCAATTACTTTTGTTCATTTCATCTTCAAATCAAACATGTCCTCATGACGTGCTTAGAAACGGAGACGAGTTATCTCCTTTTCGTTTCAGGACCAGAACATCCTCCAACAGGTGTTAGTGTCGAGATCAATGAGGCAAACATAGCCGTGGTACGATGGAATCCACCGAATTCGACTACAGAGATTCTGGTCAGCGGGTTATTCTAGGCGTTCATCATTCCGTTTCGAATGTGCGCCACGTACTTGACTTCATCATTCATAGAATGAGAGACCCCACTTAATAAGTTTATGGCTGCTACTTTGCGGCAGCGCCTACTAGCGTCCACCAGCGTTCCGAGCCTACAGCAGCGTCAGCGACTGGGAAAATATAGATATCAATCTAGCGTCTACCAGCTTCTCCCCGCATTCGCCAGCGTCTACCAGTGTCCACCAGCGAGGGCCTGGGAAGTATAGGTATCGATCTAGCGTCTACCAGCGTGTGCCAGCGTGCACCAGCGTCTACCAGCGTCTGGGAGAGGAGAGTATGGCGTGATAGGCGGGTAGCGACACTTGATAGAGATTGTGGGGAGATAGGAGGGTGGTCGACTGCTGGTAGATAGAATGGCGCGATAAAACAGTATTAGGTGTCTGCCACCCTCCTATCGCGCCGTACTCTCCTCCGGACGATGGTGGATGCTGGTGAACGCTGGGAGACGCTGGTGCACGCTGGTAGACGCTAGATCGATATCTGTACTTTGCAGTCGCTGACGCTGCCGGACGCTCGAAACTACTAGTCGACGCTACGCGCCGGACGCTCAAATGCTTAGTGGACGCTGGAGAGACGCTGGTGGACGATGCCGCAAAGTATGAACGCCGCTTAAAAGGGTTGGTAAGGATTGGCAGCGCACGCATTGTAATTATGCTTAGCCTTCTGTTGTGACATTATGGGATGCATGGGCTTCTAAAAGTATCCATCGAAGTGGTACTTTCACTGTGAAAGCATAAAAGTGAGAATTTTGGATTCTTACAGAGTTTACGTGATCTATTCACGAGATATCTGGACTGGTCAACTGGGGATTACAGAAATGGCAACCGGTTAAAGTTTCACGTCGACACCAAAGACGTTAGTTCAGCTCAGGCAACATCGGAAAGTTTCAGACAGTTTCCAAACAACAATCATAGCGATGGCCAAAATATGGCTTTGGGTTCCAAACGGTTCCCGTGAGGAAGAAAAATCATACTGGAACCACCTGTAAACGCCTCAAACAGCGGCTTCCTCTGCCATAGATGGGTTCTGAGTTACTGGCACGCTTAACACCTCGACGAAGAACCAGATGCCCTAAGACAGAGCACACGATGACGAGCAAAATCGTTTATCCGCATCGCGCTTTAGTGTCCTGGGCGTGGCCTGGGATATGACAGAGCCCTTTGCGTCCCTTACAACTTTCATGTTGGCGATCGATGAATACATACTGTGAGGTTAGAGTGCAAACATGATGGTAACTTTCAAACCCTTTTTAGGACGGCTTACTGGTTTTTGATTCGCCGAAGAAGTGAAACATATACATAAAGTTACCTTTTCGTTTAGAGTCACAGTTTTACGGTTATATGCTAAAAGACTGACGGGGTTTTGATTATGCTTCATGGGATTACTTTCAGTAGTATTTTAGGTACAAGTTCGGTTATCAGGTCGGTCTCAAGCCAAAAACATTTTATCGTGTACGAGTTAGTGCGAAAAACGATGTCGCAGAAGGTCCAGTCAGCGACACGAAGGAGTTCGAGACAGCTTACTCTGGTCCGTTCCTTCTTTCTTTTCACTCCGTGCTATTCGCTCGTATCTCTCGACAGCAGGAGTTAGGTAGAATTCTGCCGTTGACAAGTGGGGTGGTCATATTTGGCTCGGTTCAGAGAGGTCTGGATTAGGGCTGTGTTCATACTTTGCGGCAGCGTCCACCAGCGTCCACCAGCGTCCACTAGCTTTAAGAGCGTCTGGCAGCGTCAGCGACTAAGAAAGTATAGATATTGATCTAGCGTCTGCCAGCGTCTACCAGTGACGGGGGTAGGGAGTATGGGGAAGTAGGAGGGTAGCAAACAGCTGGATTAGGCGTCGCAAAATTGCGGCATGTGCAACCACCGCAATTTCGCGACGCTACTACGCCGTGCATTAAATTGCACAAATCTGTTCTTTGGCAGTTGTGCAGTGCGGTTGCACACGCCAATTTCACGACGCATAATTTGGCTGTTTTCTACCTTCCCTTCTTCCCCCATACTCTCCTCTCTTGTTGAATGCTGACGTACGCTGCTAGATGTTGGCATACGCTAGGTCGATATCTATACTTTCCTAGTCTCTGACCGAACGCTGGTGGACGCTGGTGGACGCTGGCACAAAGTATGAGCGTAGCCTAACAGATATTTCGTCTCATCTGTTCCAAATGTTCTATATCAAATGTTTTTCTACAGAACTACCTATTCCAACGGACATCAAAACAAAGGTGGCAGAAGACAATTCCCTTACCATCACTTTCACAGCAGTAAGAGATCCCGACGACCACTCGAATATCATACAGGTAACTCGGACTTCAAGCTCATTTGTGACACTTCCTTGCAGCTACGGTCTCTACCTCATTTTGTCTTTATTGGGTGCGTGATCGCAAACAAGCTCGTTAAGGCTGCGATCATACTTTGCGGTAGCGTCCACCAGCGGCCAACAGCATTCCGAGCGTCCGGCAGCGTCAGCAACTAGGAAAGTATAGATATCGATCTAACGTCCTCCAGCGTCTACCGGCGTGCACCAGCGAGGGTTAGGGAAGCATAGGTATCAACCTAGCGTCTGCCAACGTCTGTCAGCGTGCACAAGCGT